ATGAATAGAATTTTGTAATTATCATACTTTGTTTGTGTGTTCATGAAATAAATATCTTAACTTTTATTTAGAATTGTGTTATTCTTTATGAGTGTTGTTATATCTTAGCGAAATTATCAGTGTCATAGCACCCAAGGTTTACTACATCTACATCTATATATATATATATATATATATATATATATAACACGGGCTTATGAACAACTCAACTTAAAAGTTGATTGAGTATGGATCACAAAGGTTCCAATAAATAAAAATAAAAACGACTGTGCGGTGTTATTTACACATTTTAATACATACACAGGGATACACACAAACATACATGTACATTCTTTTTAGTGATTAGATATTCGGTGTACATTTGTGTCCTATACAACCACAAGTGTTTTTTCATGAATTATCAAAGTTCATCATCTGAAGGTTCATTGTCAGATTGTTCATCAAGTTCTATATCTTCAACCTCGGACAGGTCCACCTTGGAGAGGATGTCCTTCACTATTGGTTTCATCCACTGACTGATTTTAACATCCATATCTGCATGATCCATGTCAGGGTCCAGACCTCTCACTTTCTCCAAAAGAGGCTTGAAGAGCGGTCCATAACCAAAATAGCTGGCGAACCTGATGGCTCTTACAAGTCTTTCCAAGAATGTCTGTTCCCAACACTTCTTCAGTTTGTTCTCAACCCATCTCTCACTCTTGCCTTTATCTTCGTATTCCTCTTTCTTTCTCAAGATGTCCCCCCTTACATGTTTTTAGTGTCTGATCCCACATGTATTCTATACCCTTCACTTCTCTCTTTGTCAATACCAGTGACTTTAGATGATTCAATAGGACGTAGGATGTCATCTTTGCTTTCATTGAGGGATTCGGTTTTAGTCCGTTTCCTTAAAGGTTCACCATCATTCTCAGGACACCAAGTTCTTACATGACGCTGGAGGTCGTGATTGTTCTCAAATACAATCCCACACTCGTCACAGGAGGGCATGCTCTCGTCTTCAAGGTTGTCTTCAAGGCTGTCAGTATCAACAGGGTCAGAGATGTTCACCTTTTGAGTGTCTGCTGGCAACTGATTCAAGGACTCGTTTGGCTCCTCTTTTTATACTCTTGCTGAATGTCACAAACTGTCTCGAAACTGGCGGTCCTTTTGTCTCCATTTTAGATGGTCCTCTGTCATCTTTTGAGAGTATATTTGGCTGTAGTCGTTCTGATTCGAGGGTAGTGGGTCGTAGATCAAGTGTCAGATTGCCATAAGGTTTGTGAACAGCTGTTTCATACAGTGACATAAACCTATCAGTATTGTTTGGGAAAATGCGTCTAGCAAACAGTTGAACTTGTAGTCTATCCACTGGGGAATTAAATAGAGTCACATAGTGGGAATTCAGAGCGATGTCACGTGACTCCTTCCCCCGCGGAAATAAATTTTGTAGCAGCAGAAAGACAATAACATTTTTGTGATGAGAAGTTCGTGTAAATAACTGACTGACACGTTTATCATCCTTAGCTTCACACATCATGTCATCCAACACCATCATGTTGTTATTTCTAGCATCCAAGTAGGTATCGTCAAGTACATTGTAGGGAAGTCCTTTCACAAACTTCACATGGGGCAACTGTTCACTGATCACCTGGTACAGGGGCTGCCATTGGGTATAGCACCAGACAATGTGATTAGGTGTTGGCTGTATACATCCCTTCATGAGAAGGTTGTAGATAAACATAGATTTACCACTGCCAGTAGGACCCACAACAACTGCATTAGAGGGGATGGTAAACTTGAAATGTTCTTTATCATTGAATTGATTGTGGTTTCGCTGTTGCTTATGCATTGAGTTATGCGCGGCGACGGTAATTGTGTCTGCGGCGGTGGTAATTGTGTCTGCGGCGGCGGGGGTAATTGCGTCCGTGGCGGCGGCGGCGGCGGCGGCGGCGGCGGTGGATTTTCATAATCAATAATGTGCTTATGTCTCCTGTGTCTCAGCATAACATCCTTCCTTGAAAACCGTCTCTGACAATCGGGACATGTTGCTTCCATGGTGGTTCTGTATCCAATGAGAAGTGCATCACATCTATCCTTATTTATACACCCTGGAGGTCCTGCTCTGGGATCCAGCTGTTAAATTTCTTAGGATAACCCATCCATTTAACATACACCTCTTTTCTACCAGCTCTCTTCCTCTTCTTCAAGACTTTGTCTACACGCCACATGGTGTCTGCAGACTTATAGACTTTCTGAAGTTCATTCGCATAGAAGGAACCAATGACATGATCTCCTGCCATATCCTTGACTTTATAGACTGGTATCCCATCCCTGAAGTACCGTCGGCTAATAATGAATATTTCCTCTGTCCATTTCTCCTGATAGTCACGCTTGAAAGACATGTCTCAAATGTGACAGTCGCACCTGATCCCCTTCTTTGAATTTAAAGGCTTTCCGTCTTCTTTCATTCATCTTCTCTGATTTGGGTTTGACTTGTTTGTGCAGTGGATCAACGTACTGTTCTTTCCAAACAATTGGTTCATTGTTTTTGTTGATATCAGCAGGTGCCCGTTCATTCAGTGATCTGTGGGGTCTGTGGTTGTAGTTCCTTACAAGATCTTGTAAAATATGAAGATAGTGGTATGTTTGCTTGTATGTAAAGTATCTGTACATGGTTGTCTTGAGAGTCCGTATGACTCTCTCTCTGCATAAGATGCTTTGGTTTCATTCTGAGGACATAGTAGGTGATACCCTTGCTTTTAAAAATAAGATCTCACTTTCTTGTTATCAAATTCGCGACCCTTGTCAGATCTTATAATCTGTGGAAGAGTAGCACGAGAAAATATTTTCTTCAGTGCTTTGATGACTGCATCTGGTGTTTTATCTTTAAGGGGTTCCACCCATAGAAACCGTGTAAATACATTGATGGCTATTAGCAAGTATTTGACTCCATCATTGTCAGAGGCTATGTTCGATACATCGGCTAGATCTAAGTCCCAACGTGAATCCAAACCTGTTGAGATCACTCTGTTGCGTTTGAACTTGTATCTCAATGGACGTTGTAGAGAATAAGCATCCTGATTAGCTAAGCACTTCTTGATCCGATGTAAACCTATATTAGTTTTTCCTTCCCTTTTCAAGATGCAATATAATTTTGATGGACCCGAGAAGGATGCTGGATGGTTGGGATTAAAGTAAATACTGGACAAATAGTCCTCCCATCCTTCAGCTGGCATGATTACGTGTTAAATGAAGTAAAAGAATACAAACCCCATATTTATAAGCTAACACTATAAGTACTTTCTCGACTCTCCATAGTCACCCGGCATGTTAACCCTTTCAAGTTGATCATGATGTTACCTACTTCTCATTGAAAGAATGTAGTCCTATTAAAAGCTACGGGGGGTTTCCCACGTATTGCCCAACCCTTAGAAACAAACGTGTACCTATTTTTAGCGCGACGTCATCAGACAGGATTAACCAATCAAAATAATGGCACCATCGTCAGGTGGCGTGGCTCTCTCATTTTACTATCATCAACTTGGGATTACATTGGTTGAAGTACCCTTATCCATACGTGCATTCTTGCACCCGTGGAGATACGGGTTAGAATGAGCCTTCAGTAACACATGCTTGTCGTACGAGGCGACTAACGGGATCGGGCGGTCAGGCTCGCTGGTTTGGCTGACACATGTCAGCGGTTCCCAATTGCGCAGGTCGATGCTCATGCTGTTGATCACTGGATTGTCTGGGCCAGACTCGATTATTTACAGACCGCCGCCATATAGCTGGAATATTGCTGTGTGCGGTGTAAAACTAAACTCACTTACTCATACGTGCGTTCTGATTGGCTTGCGCCGTTTCGACGCATTGACACTCTTTAAGCTGGGTGAAGGAAAGATGCGAGTGGTGTGAATGGGCGCAAACTGTTGCCTGGCAACAGCTAATTAAAAACTGACTCATAAGGTCGAAGATTGTTAAAATGTTATAGATTTTGGTGTTTTCCTCAACACAGATACTACCTTTGCTTTATATCATATGTATAGAATCTCTCAAACTTTCATTCAGTCATTCAGTCAGTCATTCTTTATCGAAAAAAATAAATATTTACAGAAAATGTCCAAATAAAAATATCACGCTTCAGATTGTTTAAAACCAAATTCATTGTCGACCAAAAAATAGCATTGTTGCAAGTGTTGACTGTAAATACCTTAGGCGGAACCAGAGGGGTGTGTGCGGGGTTGTTTATTAAATGACGGGTGAAAATGAAGTGTGCACCTTCCCTTTCTCAAAAGTGCCCACGCGCACGCACGCACGCACACACACACACACCTTCTCAAAAAGCTGTATCCGCACCTGAATACATATTTAGGCACAACACCTATCACGTCAAGAAACACAATTTGACTTCAGACATTAATTGTACCATGTAGGGAATCGAACCTGGGTCTTCGGCGCGACAGGCGAACGCTTTAACCACTAGGCTACCCAACCGCCCCGTGTTCCTTATAACCAAACTATACACACGGAACAAACTTCATACTCATATGTAATCATTATGGTTCTTTGTATGATTATTATGATTTCGGGAGCAACATACATTGGTTTTACTTTTTTCCAATAAAATTCCATGTCTATATGTGCATATCAATCGAGAGGATGTTACTTCAAGTTATGCATATCCAGGGAGCGGATCCAGAGCATTGCGGTTCTAACCATCCAACAAATAAACACACGGACCAAGAAAAATTGTGTTAAAAGACTCAGTATATATCAAAAAATGATATGTAGCCTAGCTACAGCATTACAACGCTCCACAAAGCGATCCTCGCGCTAAGACGATCGTATCTCCCAAATTCAGCATATATTTAGCAATCAAGATCGCTTTGTGGAAGGGGCTTCGGGAAAAATATTTGCGCAGAGTTATAAATATAGTCCGTTTTGACTACTCTGGCCCATTTCGGCGCTGGTCCGTTTTGACGTGTCTGTAAGAAGAGTTAACTCCCCTACGGGAAATACGTTCAAATTATCTCCCCTTTCCCATCCACATTTGTTTTGAGCTTAGTCATTTTCTCCGAAGTTGTACGTAATTTGTGACAGTGATCATGACTACAAACTACAAGATTGTCGCGGAGGACCCACAATTTCAACAAGAGCTTGCAAGTGCTGGGTCGAAATTGGTTGTAGCGGATTTCTTCGCTACGTGGTAAGCTGACGAGTCGCTATGAAACAAGGGCTAATACTGTTGCATTTGAAACATTCGTAGATTTCTCGATGAAGGCGAAGTTATCTGCCTTCCACGACGTGATTGTTTTTATAGAAAACTAATAATCTATCAATTTTGTCCAAGGGAAAAGTTTACTCAACATAATCAAATGTTTATGCACGTTGTATCAAGTCCAGTTATCATATTATACTATGCTTACCTCGTATCGTCTTGCAGGATACAAGACGATGCGAAACGAAAATTAGTTTGTAGTATACCTAAAATTATCGCCATATGCTTACATGTTTTACAGCATTATACTTTTTGGTGGGCGACCCAGATTTAGTTACTCACATCTGGATGATTCGTACCCATATTTCAATGATCAGTACCCATTTGTATTTGGTCACCATGGAGCAGTGTTTCAATGGATGTCTGTGACTTCTCTCGTCATATATTTGGACTCGGAAAAAACTTTCCTAGGTGTAACAGTGTCTCAAAAAATCCTTATTCGTGGATATAAGGGAAATGCGGGGAAATTCATATTTTGAATACATGCTTTCATTTTGCATACGCACTGATTATTTTATTCATTGATTCAGCAAATTGAAAATGCCTAATATTCCACTCGTGAATGAAACGTTAGTTTACTGACGCCATTTGCAAACATCACCCATTCGTGTGCCCACAAAATGTGACGTCACCTTGTTTCGTGGATTACGTAGTCGGTAACTTAATGATGTACGACATCCCACTGCAGTAAGTATTGACACCAAGGAAAGCAGACAACGAGAAGTGAGAATGTTGGAGCTAACGGTATCCTTTTAACTTGACATTTTGTAAAAATAAACTTTGGTAATGGTGGTATTAGTGATTTGGGGCTATTTATCTCAATGCTGGACAATTATATTTAGTGTACTTGCGTGTAATGCAGAGATTCGGAACTTTATTTGTGAGCGAGGCATGGCATTTTGTGTACATCAAAGGTACTGCTTCGTGACGTCAGTCGAGACTTAATTTACGAACTAGCATGATAATTTCCGCGATCCACAAATCAAGGTTATCCACGAATTTAGGTTACTCTTCTGTAATAATATATACAAAATTTGTACCCTACTGGCTGCTGAACAGTTATTGCAGCGTAAGAGTTATCGCTGCGTAACAGGTATCGCAAATACATCAGTATCACACGTGCGCAGTTCTGGTCAATTACAATTCCAGTATATTTGTTCCACGGTATTTGACAGCAAAACAAGTCAGGAAAAGAAAATTATTCACAGTAAGTAACATTATACACAATACATTTAATTAAAAAATGAATTATTCTCTCAGCATCTGATTTCAAGCATGATTTATGAATCTATAAAGGTAGGACTTGGTAACAGTGTTCACGAATGGTGTTTCAAAGTAACAGGACGTTGGGTCCTGTAAATTTCAGATGTCTGTCTGACCCACTGAAAATGCACAGGACCCACAGAAGACAAATTAAACACACATTTCAGATTTAGCATTTCTTGTAATTGGCATTGAAATTATTAACAAGCGTAAAATTTATAAATAGCAAACAAGTGTCACATGTCACATATAACAAGTTCAGTCAAAGTCATTGTGAAATATGCAGTCGGACACTGGGGTCGGCGAGTTATAGACTTCCATCTGACCGTCGGCGAATCTGTCGGATTCGTCTGAGGGTTTCACGCTATTCATGAATACTGTGGTAATTTTAGTGATTATGGTGCTGATGAAAAAGGCACATGTCATCATATCCCAATTGCCTTGATTTGTCCTGAAAGGGGCCGAAATTTAGCCAAGCTTATCAAATAATCATTTAACAGGAACCTGATGCATAAAAATAACCTTTAATCACATGTTGATTAATCTCTGTTGAAAAGCAAAACTTTCCCAGCAAGTGATTTAGCTGAGATGGTCTGTCCCACATTTGACTGACCACATGTGAGTAAGTGAGATGTGCTTTATGCCGCCTTTAGCAATATTCCAGTGATATCACATCAGGGGACACCAGAAATGGGCTTCACACATTGTACCCATGTGTGGAATTGAAACTGGGTCTTCAGCGTGATGAGCAAGCGCTTCAACCACAAGGCTACCCCATCGCCCCTGTTTTATATGTGTTTCTATAGGGCCTTAACTTGTTGATAGGCCATTAAAAGGCCCAACAAAGCCTTAAATTTTATGGCTGATAGTCTGTACGAAGCCTGTGCCTCATTTCAGTTCAGTAGGAGGTGTGGTGGTGGAGACTAATGGTTAAACCATTGGCTTGTCGTGCCGCAGACCCAGGTACAATGTGTGAAGCCCATTTCTGGTGTCCCCCACCGTGACTTTGATGGAATATTGCTAAAATCAGTGTAAAAATGAACTCTCACTCCACCATGGAAGCAGACTCTGGCAACAGGGTGTACACCTTCCCTTCACCTGGTGTGCTTGTAGACAGGAGATACAAAGCTGACATATACGAGTATTTACTGTATTTAGTTTCGCAAGCTGGAGGTAAAATATTGGAACATTAATTGATTAATGGAAGAAACACCTCATGGTTGTGTCAAATGCTATTTTTAAGATCATTTACTCATGTAGTTACTGGGTTCGATTCCCCACATGGGTACAATTTGTGAAGCCCATTTTTTTGGTGTCCCCTGCCATGATATTGCTGGAAAATTGATAATAGCGGCATCAAACCATACTCATACCTAGACAGGGGGTACAAAACTGACATATAATTACTGTCTTTAGTTTCGCAAGCTGAAGGAAAAATATCGGAACATCAATTGATTGTAAAACCATACTCACTCACTCACTCAGTTCAGTTGGTGATGCATAGCCTGTATTGCTGTCTGTCAGATTTTAACAAACATTTAAGTAAGTTTTTGAGGTAAAACATACAGAATGAGGGAGTATGATTTTACGCCGCTTTTAGCAATATTCCAGCAACATCATGGCAGGAGACACCAGAAAAAGGGGTTCACAAATTGTACCCATGTGAGGAATCGAACCCAGTAACTACATGAGTAAATTATTAAATCACATTTGACACAACCGTGAGGTGTTTGTTCCATTAATCAATTAATGTTCCAATATTTTACCTCCAGCTTCAAAACTAAATAGAGTAATTATATGTCAGCTTTGTATCTCCTGTCTACAAGCACACCAGGTGAAGGGAAGGTGTACACCCTGTTGCCAGAGTCTGCTTCCATGGTGGAGTGAGTGAGTTCATTTTTACACTGATTTTAGCAATATTGCAGCAATATCACGGAAGGGACCCCAGAAATGGGCTTCACACATTGTACCCATGTGGGGAATCAAACACAGGCTTTCGGCGTGATGGGAGAACACTTTAACCAATAGGCTACCCCACCTCCCTGTAAACATGTGATGTGTTACAATTATTGAAATGGTGTTCAATCTGTGTGCCTCAGTAAGTTTTGAGATGACACAGATGAAATATTTTCAAAGTATCCTGGGGGCACGAATAACATTATGAAAAAAATCTCCCCGTGATTCATGTACAGTCTGTTTGCTGTGAAAACGTACCGATGAATTTCACTTTAAACAAAAAAGTAAATCAAATAAAGTGAAATTAAAGATTGCAAATCCTCATAATTTTACCTTGCCAAATGAACAATTAAATCTGAGAATTTTATTCAACTTAGGATAAAACTTCTTTAACAAACGATCATAGTTTCAAATCGCTATTATTGGTTTGTATTACAAGGGGTATGCACATTAAATGAAACACGAGAACAAGTAGGGTTGGTCTAAGTTAACGCTCGTCAGGTACCACACGTGTGTTTGTTTCACTGTTCCAACTACTGCGCTTGCCCCCTTGTCTGGTCCAGACCGATTATTTGCAGCTGGAATATTGCTGGGCGCAGCATAAAACTGAACTGAGTGACTCACTCACTCACTCAAAGATATTAATTGTTGAAACAAAAAAAGGGCGGGGGTGGGTCCAGTAATACAAATGGCGATTGGGTGGCCTAGTGGTTAAAGTGTTTGCTCGTCATGCCAAAGGCCTGGGTTCGATTCCCCATATGGGTACAATGTTTCAAGCTCAATTCTGGTGTTCCCCACCATGTTATTGCGGGAATATTGCTAAAGGCGGCAGAAATCTAAACCCACTCACTTACTCACTCGAGTCGTTCAAGGTACTGCATTTCATTGTACAGAGTTGTTTACGTTGGAGGGGAGGGAGGAATACTGGCCCAGTTGTCTAAGGAGCTCTGATATTTGCTTTACAGGGTTATGTCCCTTGGACGCACCAGGAACTTGTGATGGAGAATCTTTTGATTCCAACTTTCCTCCTACATAAACATGACATGCCATGATAAAACTAGAGCACATAAATGTCATTTTCTGATTGGCTGAGCGCTCTTCTATTATTTTCAATATACCCGACTTATAAATGAGTAACATTTTCTGTTACCCGCTTGGAATGCCAAACTGTGGGAATTCATTTGGTACTTCGTGTTAGTAATTCTTTATCTCAAATAATTGAGTCACGTATGATGTATGGAAATTACCAGTGTTTTGCGAATGCAAATCGATATAAGGGAGATAACTCTAAATTTGTTGTTCTTGACATTCTATGTCATCAGAAAATGTTGCATTGGCTTATTGCCTTACTCTGGTTCCCCTTATTATGGTCCGATACGTGTGCTTCAAACAGTTCAAATTTGACATTGAGGTGTTCGGAAAGATAAATACGATGTTCACTGGTCCCTCTGGGCCCATATGATGATGTAGTGATTATGTTTGTTTATATTCCCTTCCCCTTAGGGCTCTTTTTGGGCCCAATTAATAGCCGTGTCAAACCTCACTCACTCATTCAATCAATCGCTTCACACTCACTCACACAAGCACTCAGCCACTCTCTCACTCAATCAACCACTCACTGTTACAGGTGTGGGCCATGTCAGAGGATCGCGCCAATATTTGAAGAGTTCAGTACCAAGTACCCGAATGCAATCTTCCTAAAAATCGATGTCGATCTTTGTCAGGTAAGCAATACACTTGTCATCAATCATCTTATCATCATATCCCAATTGCACAGGTCAATGTTGATGTTGATCACTGGATTGTCTGGTCCAGACTGAAATATTTACAGTTGCCATATAGCTGGACTATTGCTGGGTGGTGGGGTAGCCTAGTGGTTAAAGCGTTCGCTGGTCACGCTGAAGACCCTGGTTCGATTTTCCACATGGGTACAATGTGTGAAGCCTATTTCTTGTGTCCTACACCGTGATATTGCTGGAATATTGCTAAAAGCGGCATAAAGCTAAACTCACTCACTCACTGGAATATTGCTGAGTGCAGCATTTAACAACAAACCAACAGTCTACTTGATGACATCTAAAATGAAAGTGCTGTTAAACACGTTCAAAATCATTCTCTTCCCACAGAGGTTACTAGTCATATCTTCCTACGAACCTCTGTTCTAATACTGCCATATTTCCGGTTCGTGCATTAAAATCCCTAGCGGCAAAAGATCGCCATACAGTTATCACCCTTCTTTCTATCCAATCAGAACCGTGTGTTACATCGGCTTAGATTCAACCTTAGTTCTAACACAAGCAAATGTGGGGCCACAAATATCCCCATCTGCGGGGACTTGTGTTCATATTACACACAAGATGTTTAATGGCTAAGGCTTGTCCGTTGTCAGTTTAGTTTTCGATACATCACGGAGAATTACAGAGGCCTTTGCGAATGATCACTTTTGAAACAACGTCGCTGATTGCGCAACTAGATCTGATTGCCTCCAATCACGAGTCTTGAACGCTCACACCATTAAAGGGCTGTATTAGAACAGAGGTTACGTAGGAAGATATGACAGGAGTAACCTCTGTGGGAAGAGAATGGTTCAAAATGGTCTTATATCAAAGTTGATCAGGCAATATATCAAACAATCAATTAGCCCATCATTTGTCTGTGTTGTACAGGAAACGGCTCAGTCACAAGGCGTCTCCGCCATGCCGACGTTCATGTTCTACCGCAACAAGGTGAGGATCGACACTCAGAAGGGCGCAGACCCCAAGGCCTTGGAGGAGAAGATTAAAAAGTGGTACGGTGAAGAGGACGAAGGAGAAGAGGAGGTTGTCGTCAAAGGACATGTGAGTTTAGAAAAAACACATTTATTCTTTGTATCTTTGATGAAGATCTGGGTTAGAATTGGTCTTCATGCCTGTTGTAAGACCCGACTAATGGGATCATATGCTCAGGCTTGCTGAGGGGCAGTGGGGTAGCCTAGTGGTTAAAGCGATCACTTGTCACGCTGAAGACCCGGGTTCGATTCCCCACATGGGTACAATGTGTGAAGCCCATTTCTGGTGTCCCCCGCCATGATATTGCTGGAATATTGCTAAAAGCGGCGTAAAACCCAACTCACTCACTCAGGCTTGCTGATTTGGTTGAGGTATACCTCCATAGGGGGATCCAGAGGGGGGTGTAGTGGTGCCCCCCTTTTGTCCTGAAAGTTTATTAAATGACCATTGAAACTCGGGTGAAAATGAAGTGTGCACCCCTCCTTTTCTCAATAGTGTGCACCCCCCCTTTCTCAAAAAGCTGTATCCGCCCCTGTACCTCAGTGTCCCAACTTTGAGATGCCTGCTCATGATGTCAATCACTGGATTGTCTAGTCTAGATTTGATCATTTACAGACTGTCATCATGCAGCTGGAATATTGCTGGGTGTGGCATTAAGCAACAAACATAGAAATGTTTTTTATCCTAACAAAATGCACTGCAATCATTTTTTTGGGAATGTCCCTGTTGAATCAAATTTGTTTCTGTGTCTCATCATGATGATGGGAAGGCAGGCATTTGAGAGATCAGGGACAGATAACTCTGGTTTGTAACCACGGGCAGCGAGGGCACATATAGCCCGTATGCCTGAAGGAGGAAGAGGCCTGTTTTGGGTTCTGTGGTACAGGAGGAAGAGGCCTATTTTGTGTTCGGTGGTATAGGAGGAGGAGGCCTGTTTTGGGTTCTCTAGTAAAGGAGGAGGAGGTCTGTTTTGGGTGGGAAAGGCTGGTTCTGTAGTATAGGATTATGAGGCCTGTTTTGGGTTCTGTGGTATTGGAGGAGGAGGCATGTTTTTGGTTCTGTAGCATTGGAAGAAGACCCCTGTTTTGGGTTATGTGGTATTGGAGGAAGAGGCCTGTTTTTGGTTCTGTGGTATTGGAAGAAGACCCCTGTTTTGGGTTCTGTGGTATTGGAGGAAGAGGCCTGTTTGGGTTCTGTGGTATTGGAAGAAGACCCTTGTTTTGGGTTCTACGGTATTGGAGATAGAGGCCTGTTTGGGTTCTGTGGTATTGGAAGAAGACCCCTGTTTTGGGTTCTGTGGTATTGGAGGAAGAGGCCTGTTTTGGGTTCTGTGGTATTGGAAGAAGACCCCTGTTTTGGGTTCTGTGGTATTGGAGGAAGAGGCCTGTTTTGGATTGGAAGAAGACCCTGTTTTGGGTTCTGTGGTATTGGAATGTTGAAGACCCCTGTTTTGGGTTCTGTGGTATTGGAAGAAGAGGCCTGTTTTTTTCTGTTTTGGAAGTTCTGTGTGGTATTGGAGGAAGAGGCCTGTTTTGGGTTCTGTGGTATTGGAAGAAGACCCCTGTTTTGGGTTCTGTGGTATTGGAGGAAGAGGCCTGTTTGGGTTCTGTGGTATTGGAAGAAGACCCCTGTTTTGGGTTCTGTGGTATTGGAGGAAGAGGCCTGTTTGGGTTCTGTGGTATTGGAAGAAGACCCCTGTTTTGGGTTCTGTGGTATTGGAGGAAGAGGCCTGTTTTGGGTTCTGTGGTATTGGAAGAAGACCCCTGTTTTGGGTTCTGTGGTATTGGAAGAAGACCCTTGTTTTGGGTTCTGTGGTATTGGAAGAAGACCCCTGTTTTGGGTTCTGTGGTATTGGAAGAAGACCCTTGTTTTGGGTTCTGTGGTATTGGAAGAAGAGGCCTGTTTTGGGTTCTGTGGTATTGGAAGAAGACCCCTGTTTTGGGTTCTGTGGTATTGGAAGAAGAGGCCTGTTTTGGGTTCTGTGGTATTGGAAGAAGAGGCCCTGTTTTGGGTTCTGTGGTATTGGAAGAAGACCCTTGTTTTGGGTTCTGTGGTATTGGAAGAAGAGGCCTGTTTTGGGTTCTGTGGTATTGGAGGAAGAGGCCTGTTTTGGGTTCTGTGGTATTGGAGGAAGACCCTTGTTTTGGGTTCTGTGGTATTGGAGGAAGAGGCCTGTTTTGGTTTCTGTGGTATTGGAAGAAGACCCTTGTTTTGGGTTCTGTGGTATTGGAAGAAGAGGCCTGTTTTGGGTTCTGTGGTATTGGAGGAAGAGGCCTGTTTTGGGTTCTGTAGTACTGGAGGAAGAGGCCTGTTTTGGTATGGGCATAAAGTAAGAGGGATGACAGTGTGTTGTGTCAAGATATATGAACATATAATGACATCCAGTGTCATGTATCCATTTTAAAACTTGATGCGGGTAACCAAATGGTTGAAGCATTAGTCTAACGAGCTCTTTAATAATCACTGAAGCTGGCAAGATCGACCATTTGACTGATTATTCAGTCAACCACCCCAGCACTAATTCATACAAACAATTTGACTTTAAAAAAAACCAAAAAAACTAATTCATACATATCATATGAGTATGTGATTTGTTGAAATAGTCATATAAGCAAGAACAGTGAGGTAGATCTATCGGGGGAAGATAATCAATCAGAAATTATTCAGATGTCAACGATCAGTCAGATGTCACTACAAAAATACTAAAGAACACAATTTCTAATTTGCAACTTGAAACGTTCTTTTCCATTTCCGTAGAAATAAACTTAATTTGCGCAAGTTGTTATGTATCAATGAATACACAATGCCATTTAGAAAGTGTCAATTGCAACACGATATATTTGAGAGTACACTTTCTCAGTAAAGTACAGATTCTAGTAGTTTTACTTTATTGAATCGCCTCCGGGATTTGAACCAACACCTCAGAGTCTGGCATCTAATTGCCAGCACACCTTGGTGGCTGAGTGGGTTAGACTGCCGACTTTGAGAATAAATCATTTATACCCAGCCCAATGGAAAGAGCCTGCATCTACAGCAGTCAGTGAACCAGTGGTTCAGATTGACTGTTCAGTCGGATGTTAATTAAATATATGATTGAATTTCAGTTTGTTTTAATGTTACATTTACATTATGAGAGATTTAAACATTCGGTAAGATAAATTTGTTGTAGCATTATGATTCAGGGTATACAGGGTTTTATGTATCCCTCGTTAGGTTTTATCCACCGAGCCGAATACAGGGATTTACCTTGAGTCCTATATTTGAGGGTCCCTGGGATTCATACTCTTAATTTTCAGGGGTCCTGGACTACAAAATGGGGGTCCCTGACACTTAATTATTATTATTGTTACGGTTTGAACCAGCAAAATATAACACAGACAAGTCTAAAATATTCAATAATTTAATGAGCAATGAATGACAATACAGATATTTAGTACAATGCAATTGAGTCACAAATTTAAAATATTGGGTCACAAATATGAAATATTAACTCACCAGAGGCTTGACATGTACAGTGTGAGCAGAAATACTGATTGAAGGTTGTTTACAATGACAGTAGACGATTGGTCTTGACGATGTTGACGAAGGCAGACAGATGTATAACTCCAGTGATGTGATAAGTCCATGTATTAGCCCGTGTCGCACAACACAACAACCAGCCTTTATATAGCTCTCACACAGATTCTAGAGAATTCCCGTAAAGCCAGGCGGCATCATTATCCACTCAGAACATTCAAGAAAGGCCTCGCAAACACGACATGATGAAAGCCTTAAATAAGATTCACAAGGGAGGCAACTCTGATGCGCTATCAAGAAGGCGTACCACTACAAAATACTATTGCCATTGAACATACATGATGCGAGATGTGACCCACAGCCCACACTCAAAACGTTAAACATTGTGACCCATAATAATTATCACTCAATCAATGATATCACAAATTACAAAAAACACACTCTTGTAAAATTATGAATACTATGTTGTAATATTGTTGTAATTCAGTTACTGTTACTGTATTGTGTATCATGATCATCTCATTGTTACAGTAATTAAACGGCAAATGATACCCGGCTAGTAGCAGACTCAGTGATAACTTATTGTTACTTGATCGAAATTTTTACCAAAAGTGTTTGACTTTTTCTGCGTCCTGTGGGCTAACAAACTGTTGCATCCATTGTCAATTTTTATGTCGTGCCAGGGCATGAATCGTGTCCCGTAAATTGCTGTGCATAATTAAAGGGATAAATCATTAGTCAATGAATATATCATTACCTGATTTTGCTGACACATTTCAAAAAGTTAGAGAATGATACCATCATGTTTATGTTTCTATTAACAATATAATCACAATTTTGCTGGTTATCAAAACATCTGACAAAGGAAAACAAATGATTTCTTGGTTCATCATTACAAGTTACATCGTTATATTTGGGATAACACTAGTAAAGTAAAGATTCTAGCACTTTTGTTGGGTTAAGACCCATCCGGGATTCGAACCCACACTCTCAGAGTCAGGCACCTAATCGCCAACACTTTCTAAATGGCATATTTATAAAATTTACAGACAAACAAAGCGTGAAATTCATCTTTAATAGATATTATATTATTACGTCTACGGAAAATGCAAACTCTTTCTTCAGTTGGTATACCTGTATATGTCGCAATTTCGATAGCTAATCCAAAGTTACTACATCTAATTTTGGCTAACAGATATATAAAGTATTAGTATGGTGAGATAGGTACTCACTTCCAACTAAATTTATCTCCTATTAAAAGTCACAAAAGTATAATGTTTCCTTATGATAATAATCATATATCCCATGAACCACATACATGTTGGTAAACTAAAACTGACAAACACTGACATGCACTAACCAAGCCGGCGAGCCTGACCAGTTATCCTGTTTGTTGCCTGTTACAAGAAACATGGGTTGCTGAAGATCAGCACTAACCTGGATCTTTGTGGGTGGTTGCAAACAGTTGTATTCTACACAGTTGTACATTGTTGTATTCTACACAGTCGTATTCAGCAGTCTTATTCTACACAGTTGTGTTCAGCACAGTTGTGTTCTACACAGCTGTACTTTCATTGTATTGTACAGTTGTATTCTTCACAGTTGTGTTCAGCACAGTTGTGTTCTACACAGTTGTACTCATTGTATTGTACACAGTTGTATTCTCCATAGTTGTTATTCTACATAGTTGTATTCTACACAGTTGTACTCAGTTGTATTCTACTGTTGTATTCAGCACAGTTGTATTCTACACAGTTGTACTCAGCTGTACTCTACACAGTTGTATTCTGAACAGTTGTATTTAGCAGTTATACTCTACACGGTTGTATTCAGCACACTTCTTTTCTACACACTTGTATTGTACACAGTTGTACTCAGTTGTGTTCAGCACAGTTGTATTCTACACAGTTGTACTCAGTTGTATTCTACACAGTTGTATTCTACAGTTGTATTTTACACAATTGTATTCCACACAGTTGTAGTCTACACAGTTGTTTTCAGCACAGTTGTACTCAGTTGTATTCTTCACAGTTGTATTCAGCACAAATGTATTCTACACAGTTGTACACAGTTATATTCTGCACAGTTCTAGTCTGCACAGTGGTATTCTGCACAGGTGTATATTGTTGTACACTAGTTGTATTTAGCACAGTTGTATTGAGTACCATTGTACTCATTTGTACACAGTTGTACTCAGTTGTACACACTTACTTCTTGTGTTCTAGATGGATCTTTCCACCTTCATCTCTAAATCTGGGTGCGAGTGCCTGAACGAGTCTGATGACCACCCACTTGCCCATGCCCTCTCACAGAAAGGAGGATTCTTGGAGTCAGACGTTGATGAACAGGTAATAATAATAATAAGGAGTCCATTTGTAATGTACTTAACTCCACACCAGAAGGTATGCTCATAGCGCTACAAAGTTGACTAGTTCACTAGTCGTTGTATTTATGGAAGAGCAGGGTCTTTAGGTCTGACTTGAAAACATCAAGACTTGGCGCTCTTTTCAACCCTTCTGAAGAGAATTCCAGAGGATTCCAGCTTGAGTGGGAAATTGTCTGTAGTCAAATCCTTTATGTCGCCATTTAGGGACAGTACAGAGAAACTGAATTACGGATGTTAGTGGTCTGGTTGGGCGGTATTGCTTAATTATCTCACAGAGGTATGGTGGTGCTGTACCATATAGACATCTATATGCGAGGTACTGGAGTAATCTTTGGTCACAGCCTAGCCTTTGTTTGTTTGTGATGGCATATTCAGTAATCTTTGGCCACTGCCTTTACCCAAATTTGTTTGTTCATTTTTTATGTTATGCTGAATCATCTTTGGTGACGGCCATGTCGAGTTATATTCGTTGGTTCGTTGATTCTTCATTCCTGTTTGATGCCATATTCAGTAAGCTTTGGTAACAGGCTTGCCCATATTTATTTGAAAGGCTCGTTCGAATTTTGAATTTATGGCTTATTCAATCTTCCATACAAAGTGTTGATACTCCCACCATCTCTGTTTCAGCTCATCATCAGTTTGGCCTTCTCTCAGCCAGTGAAGCTCCACTCTCTCAAGGTGAACGGGCCAGCAGGTATGAAGTCTTTGATTGCCTTTCATCTTTCATCAACACCGGTATCAATATCAGTGAAATATGTCTCTTTTACCCATTTCATGAATCTCATTGTGATAAATAGTCTTTCAGAAAATACTGAAAATATGCTTCTGAAAATATACACTGGATGAAAATGGTTATAACAAAACAGATAATTTTGGTTTTACTTAAACATTTGGGCAGTCTAAGTAAATTTAGGCTCAGTATTATTTGTTACACTGCTATACTGAGTCTATCAAACTAACCATAGTAGAAATCAAACGGTCGTCAACAGCTAACCTTTGAGCCACCTATGACCGTCCAATTTGTCCTAGGTCAGATTCTCCCCGGGGAAAGTTTGTCCTAGACCAGATTCTCCCCGGGGAATATTTAGAATGGGGAAAAAATGGCCTGCTACACTTGCCTGTCTGGCAGGCAGGTATTTAGAACGCTGGTGTTAAGTCAGTGTAGCATATTCAGCAAAGCATGCTGATGATACACCAGTGCATCTTTGAATCATGCTGATGATACACCAGTGCATCTTTGAATCATGCTGATGATACACCAGTGCATCTTTGAATCATGCTGATGATGGTGCACAGGCACCTCTTTGAATCATGTCATTACTATGTTTTATGATGTCCGTTTCAAGAGAAAATGGCTCACATGTTAAGGCATCATTATTTCCCAATATTGAATTTCTTCCGCCAGTGTTGGCGTCGAGTTCAGTATGTACATGAATTGTAATTTCAGTGGAGCATTTGGAACCAAATGCACTGCATATGATTGAGATTGACCAGCTTATGGTAGAATCTGAAAGTGCTGAAGAGATCTGGTAGGAGGAGGTCGTAGTCTTCTAAGGCACGACAATTTGTTGTACAGAGTTGCATTCCTTGACACACACTGTGATAATGATGATTGTGGATTCATTCTGGTTCATTTTGATTAAGTTGTTGGGTTTGACAACGATGTGTAAAATGTTGGAGACTTGCATCATTTCGAGAATTCCTTAACCTTCCAATATGATATAACTGATTACTGGTCAAACCTTGATTAGGCCATGCATAAAAATAGTCTTGTTTCTCATTACCTCCAGGCCCAAAAATTGGACCCGACCCTAAGGTTTTTTTATCTTTAACACAAGAGAAAATACAACTTCGACTCTTAAAATGTCAGGGGTGGAAATAACTTTAAAATTGCTAGTGTACTCCGGTACAGTGGCACATGTAAAATCACTTACCCTTATAATTTTTCCACTACACCGGACGTTTCCTTGTTGATTTTTTAAATAAATAACCTTATTAACATTGGAAAGTCAACTGGACACCGGTACAGCGTGATATACAAATTTGCTTGCCCGACAGTAAAAAACACTGGACTCGGACGTCGGGCAATGGGTTATTTCCACCCCTGAATGTGCACGAATTTTTCACACTTCTAAGTTTTGATTGTCTATCGGAGAAAAGGTGTAAGTTTCCACAGAAATCACTGGGTTTTGGACATAAAATAAAATAAAATGTAAAAAAATAAAATAAAATGTAAAAATAAACTTCTCCCACCACCCATATTTTTTTTTTTTTAAAGTGATGAGAGACCAGAATACTTTTTATGTGGTTTTAAATCCAACTGAAGTGATCCATGGTTTTAAATGTGATTTCTTTTTCAGAAAATGCACCCAAAACAATAAAAATCTTCATCAACCAGCCAACAACTCTAGATTTTGATGGCGCCGACAGTATGGAACCTGTACAGAAATTTATGTAAGTTGCAAGGATGTCAAGCATGGGCTGTATACAACTAAGGGAGGTCACTGTAATTCACAAAGTGTCATAGTATTACTGAAGACCAGACATTTATGGTCGCTCCTGTTACTGTTGCTAATATTTAACAGAACAATATCTACATTAACTTGCATGTACAATTATCATTTTTACATATGTTTATTATTTAATAATATTTTAACTCTAAAAGATACATAATTAGTTCTCATTGCAATATGGCTGGTTGTTGATACAAATGAAAATTTTACTCACCTGCTTGAAATGAATGAAATACAGTAAACTATGTTTATAACGAACAGAGACATACAGGTAACTATTACGATTCACTTTCTAGTAGTTGACCATAAAAGTTTTGGGGCCTTTTTTTTCCAGACTTACACCTGACGATGTCAAGGAAGGTGCCCTTGTTCAGCTTCGCTACGTTAAATTCCAGAATGTACAGAATATCACAGTAAGAGTTCTTGTTGTATTGCCACATGATACCCGTGAAGGTCCGGGTTAGAATTGATCTTCAGTAACCCATGCTTGTCGTAAGAGGCGACTAACGGGATCGAGTGGTCAGGCTCGCTGACTTGGTTGACACATGTCATCGTATCCCAATTGCGTAGACTCATGGTGTTGATCACTGGATTGTGTGGTCCAGACTTGACTATTTACAGACTGCTGCCATATAGCTGGGATATTGTGGAGTGTGGCGTTAAACAACAAACCAACCAACCAAATGTATCATCCCATGAACTGATATTGGCGTCCAGGGTTGATAACCATTGCCTTTTGAGGGCAGTCGAGTTTTTTTAAATATTAGACCACCAGTATATATACATAACAAAACTCAATTATAACATAAACATTCCCTCTGGATTATGGTAGCCTTATTCCTGTGGATACACAGAATACATACAGAAAATCAAAAGAAATTGTAACACTAAGTCATAGCTATTCCTAGTGGTGTACCTAGTCTACCCCTGAGTTATCTCCCTTGATCATTACGTCACTGTATTGTTCTCCTAGAACCCTTCATAATTTTTCTGTATGGTCCACACGCATGACGTGCAAAGAATCGAGTGAAATTTCATTTCAAATCAAGACTTCATTTCTTCATTATATAGGTTATTTACAAATCTCATTCCATTTAATATTAAATCGCATTGCTGTTTGCATTTATATTAGCTATTTTTTCAACATATTTAGGGTTTGAAGTTTTCCCGCCCTTTCTGATTGACGAGAATGGCGCAGAGCAAATGCCTCCCATGTCAGAAATTCATGACGGATGTTGATCCCTACTCTCTGTGTGCTTCCTGATGTAAAGGCTTACCTTGCTCAATTTCGGATCGATGTTTATTCAGGAAATGTCTGAGGAAGATTGGATGTTGATGGGCAAATCTCGTTCCTTAGTTAGGAAGCGTAAACATTCATCAGAATGTTCTAAGTCAAAGAAAGTTCAGGGATCTCCGCCCTAATCTATTAAATCTGAACCGAAATCTTGTTCTAGATCAAAATCCTCTCCCAAGTTGGATATATCTGCATTCTCGGAACTTTTGGCAGGATTTAAGTCCGATATCCAGAAGGCCATGGACAAATCTGTATGGGATATGGAGATAAGGAATGACGAAAAATTTACTCGCCTGTCTAAACATCTGGAGGAACCTGTTTTATCCGGCTAGACGGCAGATAACCGCAGTGACTTGGTGGTCGATGGCAAGAGCCGGGGCCCAAAGTAACTTCCTTCAGAAACCAGGGGTGCTATGACCGGGAAAGCCAGTTACCATGCCCTGGCGTACGTAGGAGGCCGGTCCCCTCAGGAGGAGAAGCCTAAGGCTTCAAGCGACGGAATGGAGTCTGCCTAGCCGGCTCCGGTTCCGGGGTGACCGTGGCTCAGGCCACACACCCCGCGTCCTTTGTCCCCGGGAGCCAGTCATCCGTGGCTGCTCCCTGTTGCATACAGCCTGCTACCTTTACCCACTGGGAGACCAGGCAGCTAGGGTTTCATGGGTCTGACTAGGTCCAGACGGCACGTGATTCCCGCCCCGGCTATCGCCAGGCCACTGGATCGGCAGCTATGGATAACGGTGTATCAACCCAGCAATCTGATTTGCACGGACCTAGCGGTTCAGAGGACACGGCTACGGACCCTCAAGGTTATTTTGACACAGACAATCCGCCCTTAGTCCCGTTAGTGTCTGATGTGACAGATCAGGAGGATTCATCGGTTTATCCTTTTTCACAACCGGAGTTTTCCATGAGAGAAGAGTTGTTGATGGTACAACCTATAGACATTGCAGCACAGGATTTTAAGCCGGGCTGGTCATTTAAGGAAAAGCTGGAACTTTCGCAAGGACTTTATCCTAATACTCTTCCCCCTCCGTCGGAGGAGCAGGAGATAGATATTCCCATGGAACTCGGATTATCAGGTTGTCTTCCCCCGGAACGGATGCCCAGGCTGTCATTACCACATTCATCATCACTTAAGAAAGTGTTGGAGAATTACATCTTAGGCCTCTCCCAAGGCTACGAACTTGATTTATTTCATCCATGATCATGTTATCCCAGCCAATCAACCAAGTTTAGACAAGGACTTTAAACAGTTACAGGATGCTAGAGGCTCTCATGACTATGCACCTGTCTGTACTTACGCACCTTGATTCATCAGGATTCAAAGTTTATAAGCATAGATCTATAGGATGCGTATCTTCATATCCCTATTCATCCAAGATCTCGGAAATGCCTCAGATTTGTGGTGAACAGTTGCAGGTTTCAGTTCCGGGTGCTGCCGTTCGGAATATCCCTAGCGCCATGGCTGTTCATGAAAATAATCTCCCCAATTCTAGCCTTTCTTTATCAACGAAGTATTGCAATACACGGTTATCTGGACGATTTCTTGGCAAGGCATGTGGTGACAGGGGTTCTCATGAGGCAAACCAACTTCACATGTTTACGCATCTGGGTCTAATAGTTCATCCTACAAAGTCAGAACTGGTTCCTTCCACGAGGATCAAGTTTCTAGGTCAATCTTAGATTCAAGTGTATACCGTATTTATACTCCTTGTTGGTTGGAAATATCAACCAAGATAACCAACATGTTACAGACGCCAACTGCATCAGTTCGTTCATGGATGTCCCTTCTAGGATCTCTCACTTTAATCCAGGATTATACTGTAAGAGGAAGACTAAGGTTGAGAATCCCGCAGATCTGGCTCAACCAGTTTCGGATGGAGGACTTGGAACATCTCATAGCTTTTCCAGACAGAGTCCTTAGGGAGATATTATTGTGGACTGTGGACGTGAATGTGTTGCCTGGGGTTTCATTACTTCCTCGTTTACCGGATCTGACACTTTATGCGGATGCCTTGAACACGGGTTGGGGTGCACACATGGACATCTGGCAGACTCAAGGTGTGTGGAATCCGTCAGAGGTGAATCTGCATATAAACTGTCGGGAAATGTTAGCACTGTTAAAAGCGATCCGTTCAACAGTAGTGGCTTACATCAACAAACAGGGAGGTACCAAATCTCAACAGCTCCTCGGGATCACTCAGGATCTGTATCAAGCAGTGGACGCTATAAATTGTTTAATCAGGGCATGCCACATTCCAGGTTGGAAGAATATCTTAGCAGATTCTTTATCTCGACAGGACAGGGTGATCTCGACCGAATGGACTCTCCAGGAAGAGGCATTCGATTTGATAGGACAGACGTGGGAAATTCCAAACAGAGATCTGTTTGTCACTTGCGTTTCCTCCATTCAAAGTAATCCCAGAGGTTCTGTTAAAAATTCAACAACATGACTGTCTAGTTTATCTAGTGGCAGCAGCATGGCCTGCCAGACCTTGGTTTCCCACTCTACTGCAGCTATTGGTGGACAAACCTTTACGTCTCCCGTTGTGGCACAATCTAATCAGTCAACCTAAGTCCAGCAGGTTTCACAAGGATGTCAGTCAATTTGCGCTACACGTATGGAAGCTATCTCAAGCTACCATGACTACGTGAAATGCTCGAATTTGGACAATCAATAAAATTAGACACTATCAATCCTGGATTGAAAATGCATCTGATTTCATGACCACTTTACTGTGCATATATACAACACTGCCGCTTTACTTTAGCTTTACCACCAACAGGGCTAATATCAACACAACAGACCTGATGGAAATGCTTATAAAACATTTATTAAACTCGACAATTATATGATTTTTCCTCCACAAGTATTAGGGAACCTCCCTATCATATTACCTTGCATTATAAAATATTCAAACTCAATTACAATGCACAGCCCCGAACATAAACAAACAATATCTAACTTATGAATCAGAAAGCCTTGTTAAAATACATCTCTATTTATACAAAATTTCCAGCAAAAAAGTCAGTTAACATTTGCCTTCCTGGTAAATGGTATATTTGTTTCCGTTTGGAATGGGAAATTCGCATGATAACGGTCAGGCGAACACCAAGTTAATGCCACTCATACTCCATCATGTCCCGTTGCAGCGTTTAAAAAATACGAAAATTGTAGGGGTGTCGCGATATGCGAATGTATCGATGCATCGATACATTTTTACTGACGATACGATACGCGATACATGCTTGCGTGTATCGATTCCTATTGTAAAACTTTATCGATTCAAATTTTTATGCTATTACTATCTCCGTCAAAGTCTTGACGGCCGCTCCGATAAATAGATGTAGCTAGCTTTACTTAAAAGATAGGTTGGAAACTAACAGCTTTTGTGATTGGCTAGACTATTTTGAAGGACCAATCAGCGAGCGCGTACGTTGCTGGTATGGTAATGCTATGAAAAGGCTCGAAAATTATGTATCGCGATACATATCCTATCGTGACCTTAAAATCGTGATACGTATCGTATCGTGAGATTGGTGTATCGTGATACCCCCTAGAAAATTGACCCACCAGAATTCTGCTCTCTGTCTGCTTCCTGCATGACTATCACTGCTGGCGATCTATGTTCGTACACTTTGAACACGGCACACAAAACAATAGTCTGGTTTCAGTCGTGTGAAGGTGGGCCTATAAAAACCAAGCTCTTAGGTATTACATTATTGCATTGTATAAACAGTAGTTTGTTTTGTTTGTACAGAATATTTTATATGTTGCAGTGTTTAAAACTATACAAAGGGCACCTACCACTACCTTCACAGACGAGTTTAATTCGCCTCTCGGCCCATGCCGGTTTATGCAGTGTCTTCCGTGGAACAAAGAAGTTCGATTTTAAATCGGTTATGGTAGAATGGAGATAAACATACTGTGTTTGGAAATTAGATGAATGTTAGACCGAATTTTGCAATACAGGACCACACTCAGCGAATAATCCCTTTGAATCTGTTTTGTAGTTTTTCATCAAAGACAACCTTGGTGATGCTGACACGACGCAGATTGACTACATTGGTGTAATAGGCAGCCCTGTGCAGGCTACCAACATGTCCGACTTCAAACGGGTAAATACTACGGTTGTCGTGCTGTTGATCACTGGATTGTCTGGTCCAGACTCGATCATTTACAGTCCGCCACCATATTATTAATTTAATTATTATGATAGGATATTTATATAGCGCACATATCCATGCAACTAGTACATGCTGAATATTGCTGAGGAGGGCATTAACAACAACAAAAAAGACCAAACAAATTCAACGTTGAGAACTTAAAGACAACATAGTTCAAATATGTGTTTTGAATGAAAAAAATCAGAAATACATGTACGTATAAAAAGTGTGTTCAAACATGCGAAAAATGAAATCTGACGTCTGAGACTTTTTTTTAGGTTGCTGGCAAGAAAGGCGAGAGCCACTGAACAAGGTCTACGTCAAGTCAATGAATTATCTCCCTTGGACTGAAATATATGGACATGACTTATGTGAAGCAACACTGTAACTGGAGTTGACAAGCACATGGACATGTTAATGTGGCTTCGGGAATTCTTTATGGACCTGCACAGAAGCTGAAATTCACAGAGTCTGCATCAAATGACAGTAAAAGTTCCAAGTTTGAATATATAATTTCCCATTTCCTCAGAATGTACATAAATAAGAACCGTTAACATATCCCATTTTGAACAATATCACCTATGTTTTCATACCATAGTTGGAATCCTACATAAAACCTTGTGATTTGTTTTAACATTACTGAGGATTCATTTTTTCAAAGACCTTTAAGTGCAGACCAGCTGAAAGTGATTGTCAATATTTTGGATAACCGGTTTTGAAATAAATGCTGCAAATCTACATTCCCAGTTAGAGTCCCACAGTACAGGATCACTATTATTAACATAATTCTACTTTAAATTTAGACTAAATTACCAAAAACAGTTTGTACAATTTTGTCACAATTTGAAGTCTTGTTGGAGACAGACAGCACAACAATGTGTTTATTATTAGGTAAGTACATGTGTACTGCTCAAAGGCAGATTTGTTCATGTTCCTATACTTAATATGTCATGGGGGGAAATGCTGCATGTTTAATTTATACACTGATTATCATTCATGAACTTCTGATCACTGGTACTTGTACATTTGCAAGAGAGTTACTGTCAGTGTCCTGAAAGAGTTAAGGTATTTGTTTATGATAATGTGAACATTTTTACTTTGTGCATTTCTTTTACAGTTTTGATGCTTATTGGATATAATCCAGTTTAAATATCATGATCTTTCCTGTGATTATGGACCATAGTTCCAAAGAGCTGAGTCAGTGGGAATGTGTATAGATTTGAAAGCCCAAAATTTAAATTTAAATTAAAAATATGAATAATTAAGCTATTTGGAGAACTTGGGGTGATGGGGTATCCTGGCAGTTAAAACGTTCCCTCATCATGCCAAAGAATCAGGTTCGATTCCCCACATGGGTACAATGTGTGAAGCTAGAATATTGCTAAAAGCTGTGTAAAACTAACTCACTCACTCCTTGGAGAATAAGCCAAATGAGACTGACCGGTGTATGTAGGCTTTGACGGTCACATATTTTAATCATTCATGTCTCCTTGGTTTAATTAGTTGATAATGAGTCAGTATCTGATTATATTGCCTACTACCAGAGTTGCCTCCCTTATCTGCAATATCATCTGTTTGAATCCTACATTAAGTTTACACTTGTTGGTCTGTCAGCGCTCTATGTGATGACAGGGTCAAGGTCAGATGTTTCATATCCAACTAGTCCATAGCTCTTTTCAAACAAGTGGTTTCAAAAATATACAAACAACTAGTCAGTTGAACTTTTCTCAGTTCTTTGAATAATGGACTAGTTGCCGTGATTCCTTCATGATCATTTACTTTCATTCTGTTAAGATCTTCACTAGTCTTGGATGAACGGACAAGTGGCATTTGTTATCACTTAAGGCCTTTCCGTTAAGATCAGTCCTAAATTAACAGACCGCAGGAAGGGTAACTCTAGATTTCACAAGGGACAATCGCTTCAGGACAATCGCTTCAGGGCATTCTCCACATACTGTCCAGTCAAGAAACTGTCCGATCTTTGTTAGACTGACTCTCTGTACAGATCATCTATCTCCATGTATTTTAACAGAAGTGTATGTCATTTGTAAATGATGCTCTGAATAAAGAAGGATGGAAGTTTGCATCTGTTGTTTATTGAGTGGAAAAGTGGGTGGCCTAGTGGTCACGCCAAAGACCCGGTTCGATTCCTCACATGGGTACAATGTGTCAATTCTGGTGTTTCCCTGCTGTGATATTGCTGGAATATTGCTAAAAGCTGCTTAAAACTTAACTCACTCACTCATCAATATCTTATTTATGTTGCTATGTATACTTATTTTACTGTTGTCGTCACAGCTTTGGATTATAACTAAAGTGACTTCTTTAAGTAGCACTTAGAAGATGGTATGATGAAGAGGAACACATTTTATGGATAGACAACTTCATTTCAGTAAATGTGACGGGGCGGTGGGGTAGCCTAGTGGTCAAAGCGTTCGTTCGTCATGCCGAAGACCTGGGTTCGATTCCCCACATGGGTAAATTGTGTGACGCCCATTCAAGGGGTCCCCCCACCGTAATATTGCTGGAAGTGTTCAGAGCGGTGTAAAACTAAAACTCACTCACTCACTCACTCAATATGTATGACATGTCTGTGAAGACGTAAAACTTCACTCTCTCAGACATGTCAAGGTCGTCAAATTATGGCCAGTTACGAACTGCTGACCTACATCTGCCTTTAAAGCAGGAAGCACAGGCAAACAGGCAGACGTCAAGACGATCAGAAGAGCATGGACAGACCAGAGGAAACTGAGGCAAGCCCTGTTTGGCAGCTTGACTCGGCTTCAGTCCTGCCCCACAACGAAGTACAGGTGACACATGTGGTCTCACCCTAGGCAAGTGAGTTTGTTCATGAATTGACTCTGTTCACCCAGCAGTGAATGGGTACCCGGTGGGATAAGTCACATGACTGTTAACCTTCTCACGCCTCACTGGCAGCTTGGGTTGTCCGGGGTAATATTGCGTTAGTGCTTTGAGCTTGAACATGTATGTGGAAACAAGCGCTTTATGTATAGCCATTATTATTCCCTGCAGTGGGATATAGGTTTGAGCCACGTCCCTCCCTCCCAGATGATGTCGACATTTTTTCTCAAAAACCGTTATAGATGGGGAAACCAAATTTGGTTTGTGTTTTCAGAACATGGATGCATTGATGGAATTCGAAAAATGAAGCGGTGTTACGATTCTTTACAGAGTTATAGCCCTTGCCATGCGTTTCTTGGCTTACTGCACGTTATCCGCAATGGGAAAAGTTTTTCTCAGTAACCGTTATAGATAGGGAAACCAAATATGGTATGTGTTTCAGGACATGAATGCTGTGGTGGAATTATAAAACAGGAACCAAATAGGAACAGAACACTGTGGAGGGGGATATTGCTGACCATGTCTTCTTCTTAGGGACCGTTCTTAATTTGGGTGTGTGTTATGGAGAAGCATATACAATGTGAATGACCAGAAATTTATGTACAAAATAAGTAACCCCCCTATAATTTCTAAGCATAATTTTAAATTTACTTTAATGTACAAAATTGCTGACCCCTTCGCTCCCTAGCTCCCCAAAACAAAATGGGTGGACCCCCCACCCTCCCTCCTTAAAATCGTCATCACACATCCAACCACTCCAGCCATAAATTATGAACGGTCCCTTATTATTTATTATTAATTAAAGGGAAAGTGTACACGATAAAATCACATTTATTCTTATGTGAAACAAAGTGAAATATTTTTATTATTTAATATCAATGTTTGAAATTATACACTCTTTTTTTCTTGCAGTGAAAGGATATATAATCCTCAAAATAAGTGCTGCTGAAATATTATGCCATTGTACCACGCCTGAGTGTCGGTTCCTTTGATCTTACCCGTGGTGTATGTGCTGGAAGACAACAGTTTTGTGTTGAAGGCAGATTTCGTCTGTCATTGGCTCCTAAAAGCCACGCCCCACGACAAGAGGACTGAACTCAACATTGTTCAACATTGTTCAACATTGTACACAATTTATGTCAGTCAAGGTTTGCAACAAGGAAATGTAACTTCTACAGTTTTAATGGTTTCAAATGAATTTACAAGCTGAAATTGACCAACTGTTTTATTTATGAGAACAAAATGCTGTAATAAAATGAAAAAGAATTAAACGTATACATGTACTTTATATGTACTTTGAAGTTTACACAATAATGAAAGTTATAGTTCCAAAAATGTTTTCAGATTTAGATTAATTATTGTAGAAAACACAGTTATTATAAATAGCACTCATTTTAGCAACTAGACTGAGAATGAAACGGTCGTTAAAACTTTAAAATTTTCCCGCTTCCTATACATAATAGGCGTGGTACAAGTCAGTTAGCTCATCCAATCCTCGATCTGTGCTCGTATACACCACAGTTTTGCCGGAGTTGATTGACAGGTGTTGAGGAAGCTCAAGCAAAGCTCTCGCGTCTCCCACCCATCAACTCCGGCAAAACTGTGGTGTATACGAGCACAGATCTCGGTTTGAAATGATCTAACTAATACTTATGCAGCCCATGTTTGCCGAGCTAAACAGACCAGAGTTACCGCCCTTTGATTATGACGTAACTGGTGCCGGTTGATTTTAAACAGTCTCCTGTCTAGTCCCAAATCAAAAGATATTATAGCTAAAATACCTGGAATTATCATGAAACGGCCCGCCAATTATCAGAAATTTGCGGGCCGCTGCAAATGATATTGAACCGCTCAACCTTAACGACGGGCCACTATCAGTTCTGTTGTCAAGTGACGTCATAGTGGGTGCGTGGGCTTACGGTTCATTCGACATTAATTGGCTTTCGACTGGCAGATATTCTGGGTCAAACAAGTCAAAGCAACCCGAATTCCCGCATTAAATAGCGGTAACATTGGCTTTCTTGTTGGTGCTAACCTAACAATTACACTATTCAGGTTGTTGATGGACCAAAAAAACGAACACTGTCATAGTTTGACATGTTGCAGGTTATGGTCTTGTCAAAGGCCAAAGTCGAATATCGTCGCTTTCTGTTGTGACGTCACTTGAATTGTTCGATGACGTAATTGCATTCGGGCAGTCAAGCCCGTCAGAAGCTGATTTGGGTAAACTTACAGTCAAATTCCTTCATTGTTTCCTTTTTCTTTTCAACACGAATTCCATGTATTTTAGCAATAATAACGGTAATGCTATTTTTGAGGGCATTATCATTTGCAGAAGCCCTCGGTCTTTTTCAACTGCCCTCCTTCGTCGGGCAGTTAATGGAAGACCTCGGGCTTCTGCAAATGATAATGCCCTCAAAAATAGCATTACCCTTATAATAATACTGAAATTAATCACGTGAGAAAAGTTTGTGAAAATACGAAAGAAGCATAAGAACTGCAAACGTATGCAGCAGGACAGACAGACCGTGTGTATTTTCATTCATAAACTCACGCAATGAAAATACCAAATATGTGTAACAATGTTGACGTACGTATGACATCACTATCGGGAAGCGACTTTTTTAAAATGGCGTGTTCACTGACACGAGTACACCGGATGTTTCGACGGAAAATTTCGTTGTTTCAAGCAACGTATACACATAAATGTGACGTGTAAGTAGTCCGAAACATTCAGACAATCTGCTGGTTGTTAAATTCTATTTTTTTGTTTTCATTGTGACCAAGGGAAATAGTCAGAAATGAGGAGAACTTCCATCGTTTGCGTCAGTCATGGCGGCACGCTTTCAGAAACTATAATATGTTGTGATGAATCTCGGAAATCATTGGAATACACCTATTTTATTTAGCTATCCCATGCTATGATACCTTTCACATGCATGGTCTAAAACTAATGAGCAAATGTATGCAACAAAAGTAGGCGAACAGATACACAGTGAAATCTGAGATTTACTTTGTTTACATTTCAAACAAGTGGTCCTTTCCCAACGCGGCATCTGATATATTTCGTTAGATTTCACTGAAACACTTGGTATTGGTGATAAAGACCATTTGTCATTTTATTTTGAACTGTATAAGGAATTCAGGGATTCGTATAAGTCCACGTGTGACGCGGGATTTTATAAACACTGCAATATGGCTGAAAATTCACTTTGGCGTTAACTGTGCGTATTTTGCAAAACATTCTCAGCGATTCTCGGTTCATCGACAATGTTTCAGAACGAGCATTGGTGATTCGATCAAACAACAACAAAAATAAATACCGCTGATCACAATGATACGGGTTTTTTGGGTTGTTTTTGTTGTTGCTTTTTGTTTTGTTATGTATTTATTTAAATTAAATTATGCTTTAAAATAGAAATAGAGGGGGGTCATTGACATGCAGGGAGGGGGTCACTTGACATAATTTGTGGGGGGGAGGTGTCATTCACATTGTACATGCTTCTCCATAAAAATCACCATCACCCACCTAGCCATAAATTATGAACGGTCCCTTAGCCATGGACTAAAAGGGACGAACTGACCAATCAGTGCAGCCATCTGCTCCCCAAGCATCACTTCGTCACATTCTCTGGTAGCCTCTGTCGGACTCTGCTAGCTGTGTGCAGTGCAAACTAGTTAGCCCTGTCCTATAGGTTACACTGTAAGAAATCAAAACAACCATTCCCTGTACGACACTACCCTTCGTGTCGTTTCAAGTTGGCTGTTGATGTTTAACGCCACACGGTCGACCTGTTTGGGGTGATGGCGTAGCCTAGTGGTTAAAGTGGTAACTCCCAAACCGAAGACCCGGTAGCGTTCGCCACAGGAGTGTAATGTGTAAAGCCCATTCTGGTGATATTGCAGGAATATGTTCAAAGTGGCGTATAAGCCCACCCAATTTTACCCCATTACACTAACTCACTGCATCCCACTCACCCACCGATTCACTCACTCACACAGACTAGCATTCGTGACCAACTCGTGTTATTCCGGGACAAGCCGAATAGCGAGGTTACGGAAAGGGGCGAGTGGTGCCGAATGACAGACTAGGTTTTCTGTTTTTTTTGATTCAACCTATCAAAGCCAAAAACGAAAATTATATTTAAAAATGTGTATTTTTTGTTTGCTCAAACACTCTAACGTTGATAGAGAAGAAGAAAAACAATACAAAAATACTGTA